TATATATATATATATATATATATATATATATATATATATATATATATATATATATATATATTGCTGATCACAAAGAGAGAAAAATAGTAATAATTTTTGTTGTTGATAAAGGGAGAGAAGTAGTGACTCATGCCTAACTTTTGTTTATCTTTGTTGATGATAAAGGGGGAAAAGTGATGACCATGAATAGGGAAAATTATAATGTACTTATGATGTTTCTTAGTTAAACAACTCATGTTTGATTTATGTAAATGGTTAACTTATATTTATCTTTATCTTTTAACCGACATTACATATTAATAACGATTGAAATTTAAAACTTGAAATGATTATGATTATAATTTAAAATTTAAAACTTGATTATGATGGTAAACTAGTGTAAAATGAAATCTGTATTCTCGATCATTTTCATGTATCTAGAGCTTGAGATAGTATATATTTCTTTTCTATTAAGAATAATTACCTGTCAATAAGTGTGTGTCATAATATTTGATCGTATGATAAGCCACAGGTGTGCTGTTTCTTCACGGAGCTTGAGACTCTATTTAACACTAGTTTACCATCATAAATAGACTCGGAGAAGCGTCCTCCATGGAAGAGAGACTCACATAGTTTCTCACCATCTTTGCAAGCCAAACCCAAAACCTTTTCATGTATCGAGATCTCGAGATAGTATATATTTCTTTTCTATTAAGCATAAGTACCTGTCAATAAGTGTTTGTCATGATCTTTGATAGCATGATAATCCACAAGTATGTTGTTTCTTCACGGAACTGTCTTTGAATTTTCTATTGCAAAAGTGAAGTACACAATAGAGTAGTTTTATAGTATTTGGTGGGCTGGTCAAACAAGTAACCTATTCAGAGATGACCATCTAACATATAGCCTCTTCTATATGCTGAATTACTTGATGAATATACTTATACTGACTCGGAAGTATAAGAATGACTTGGAACTCAAAACGAGACTTGGGATGGATCAAACTTAACTGTGGGATCACAATTTAGATAGTAGAGTAAATTTTGTGTTTAGATAAACTAACGTTCCTTGTGTTTTTTCTTGTACGTATCTTTTCTTTCCTACAACACATACTGCACCGAAAGGCTGTGACTATTATAGATGGATTATGAATTTTTATCCAAAAAAATTCCCAATTTATGGTGGACATGTTTGATAAACGTATACATTCATCTTAGAGAGTTTTAACTATTATTTGAAACATTTGATGTTTGTTGTTATCCTTTTCTAATTGTAAAGTCTCTTATGTCCTACCCTAAGGAAATGTTATAGTGAGCTACCAAATCCTTCTATATCCGGAGGGAGGATTAGCCTTCGGACCTTGATAATTTGGTTTGCTGGGATGTAAACAGATATGCTCGTTTAAATTTTAGTTAGTAAGATCTAACTTCTTCCTATAAAAAAAAAAAAACTTAATAATTTGATCGTTAGACACTATACCAACGTACCTCATTTATCTTTTCTTCTTCTCTTATGTATTATCATATTTAAAATCTTGAGTGCAACAACTATTATTATTAATAATTCACCCTCTCTTTCGCTACCTCATTTATCTTTTCTTCTTCTTTTGTATATTCAATGTACAGTCTCTTATTTATTTACAGATAATTGAGACTAAAATTTTGACTTCGGCTAAAATAAGAACTTCTATCCGAACTAAGACTTTTTAACTAAATCTCTTATTTAATCATAAATTTTAATTTAATATTCCAACATCCTCTCATAGATTAACTTTATGAAATAAATTATTATGAAAGGTCTTGAAACTCGATGCAATCTCCATGATGTGTAATATTTTTTATTTTTTGATTTCTGAACAAAACAGTCCATAGTAGTCATCCATGCACTTGATTTTATCTATCTTGATCAAAGGTAAAACTCTAGTCAATCTCAGACCAATCTTGCAATATATCTTAAACCAATCTTCAAATACGTAAGCAATCCAATAAAAATCATCACATAAAAAGATCTCTGGTTTCGCATGAATATGATAGACTAAAAGGTCTGCGGTTCCTAACGAAATAGGTAACAAAGCAACTTTGTCATATTCTACTACAGTTCACCTCCTTCCCAAGTTAAGCTAATACCTGCTATTACACCAGTAGCTGTACACCGATGTGCTGGGCTAAGTAGATAATATGAAAATAATGATAACGTGAAATAATCTATCATTATCTTAAGAGTTTAAGTTAAATGGTTAGATGTAGATTGGTTCTTTTTATAAGCCTATATAAAGAGATCAATGAAATAATTTTTTGTGTGTGATTTTTAGTTAGCAATTTGATATCAGAGCTAGTGATCTAGAGAGCCAAAAGACTAAAGATCCCTAAAAGGCTAGAGATCTAGAGAACCTAGAAAGCTAGAGATTCAAATATCTATAAAATAAGATAGATAGTAGACTAAATCTATAGCTTTTCGTTCGACTAGCTTTTGTGTTATTACAACAGATATCAATAGCTACTAAAAATTTTGTACAACCCACTGTCCCACACTTTAATGGTCATTATGATCATTGGAGTATAAAACTTCCTTGGCTCAAAAAACTAGTGATAGAGTACCTAAACTAGCATTAAGAGTGATGTTGACAAATATACAAAAGGCAAAATTGGAAGAACAAAGATTGAAAAATCTAAAGGCACCGAATTATTTTTTCAAAGCGTTTGATCATTCAACCTTAGAAATAATTCCTTACAACACTTCCTAGCAAATTTGGGATTCCATGAAAAAGGTATTATCAAGGATCTACTAAGGCAAAACGAGCACACCTTCGAGCACTTCACACGGACTTTGAGACCCAAAACATGAAATCAAGTGAATCAATTTCTGATTACTTTTCAAGTACAATAGCAATCACAAATAATAATATGTGCATCTATAGTGATAAGATGGAGAATGTTGCTATTGTGGAGAAAAATTCTTTGGTCAATAAAATTTAATTTTGTTGTTTGTTATAATAAAAAGTCTAAATATCCTAATGAAATTACTATTGATGAATTGCAAAGTCCTTTACTTGTTCATGAGAGAAAATCATCCAACGAGATAAAGAAAAGTACTACCAATCAAAAAGGGTAGAATTATGAAAAAGAAAGATGGAAAGAATAAATAAACACCACAAGTCACAAGACAACAATGTTGCTGATTCCTAAGGAAAAGAAACCATGGCCAACATTCAACTAATCAAAAATCAAATTTTGGAGACAAATCCCATATTAAATGTTAAAATGCCACAAGTGTCATCATAATTGTTCTGGATGTCATACAAATTTAAAATGTTGTGAAAAATAAAATTTTATAGTGGAGGAAAATACCCCTTTTTTAGTGCTATGTCATCAAAATAAAGAGACTCACAAAAAGTTATGATATTTAGATACACGCGTGGGGATAAGGATACATCTTCTCCAATAGATGAATTCTTCCAAAGTATGGTAAAGTTTGAAAATGATTCCATAGTTTTTATCATGGGTAAGGGGAATGTGAAGATTCAAACTAAAAAATATTTAATCCAAACTATTTCTGATGTTTTATTTATTCCAAATTTGAAAAGAAATTTGGTCGATATAAGGCAGCTCCAAGAGAAGGGTTATGAGATCATTTTTATTAAAGGAGTTTGTTAAATTGCTAGTGAAAGATTTGAATATTCAATTTAGAATTATCCAGAGTGCAAACTTCTATCTTGCATGAAAGAAATAAAATGCATTGATGTGGAGTATCACTTTTTACGAGATTTGATAAAAGAATATATAATTAGTCTCACCTATTGCATGAGTGATGATTAGATTGTTGATATCCTTCCTTACAAAGCCTCTCGAATTTATAACGTTTTAGACGCTAAGGAATCTGCTTAGAGTTTTCACCCCAGATTCTTTTAAACTGAATATTTTTAGTTTAAGAGATGGAATGTTGGGATAAGTAGATGATTGGTAAAGAATGATGAGATGATATAATCTAGCATTATCTTAGGAGTTTGAGATGTCATTTAAAGTTTATTTGTCTTATCTTTCATATGTAGGTTGATTCTTTTAAATCTCCTTTTGCAAGTTCATGTAAAGAGATAAATGAAATAGATGTGTTTCCTCTCAGCTTCTTTTCTTCTTTGTTCTTCACAAAAGCCAAGTCTTCTTCTCTGATATGAAGTCCTGATAAAATGCCTCACGAGTTCAAACTCCTTGTCAAAAGCAAGCCAATATTAGGTTTAGTCATTAGCTTACAACTAATGTTGACTGTCATGAGAGTTACATATTCTCATGCTGAAACTTAAGCTTAACAAAAGGACATGTAATCAGATCCATTATCTAACTTTGAACTATATAGAATAGTTCATTTATTCCTGACAGCAACCGATCGGTATCGTCTTGAAGCCATCTTCTTTCACTTCCCAGTTCGCGACGATTTAGAATGCGGCGATCGCATCTCACGGAGCCTTCTTTCATCAGACAGTAGTTTGGCAAGCCTGCGCATATATGTCGTTAAGAATGCAAACATGTATTTGATTCATATACTTGCAAGAGGTGAGGTTTGTATGGTCACCTTATCAAAGCTTCCTCATTAGTTCCTTCTCCCTCACTCACAGGCTCAACATGACCAGTCTCCAAATTGACTCTTGAGACCGGTTTCTTCAGTAGCATTTCTCCAACCTTGACAAGGTTCTCCAGGTTCTCCTTGGTGGACGTATCTACTGATGCTAGTATTCCGCTCAAAGCATCATCCTGTTCATATCCATATAATGTTCTCAAATATAGGATTACACAAAGCAGTAACAATGTGTCTGTGTCAAGTTAGGCATCATCTTAATCCAAAAGCTTAAATTATAAACCGAACTCCATATATTTTTAACATTCTTTTAGTCCTCTTTTTAATATTTTTCACACTCTTTTAGTCATTTTTTTAATCACTCCTCACACATAATTATTTCTTAAAATCAATTATATCCACAATCACAACTTAACTTAAATTACCAAGCTCATCTTGACTTTGATATTATTTTTTTTAATCATTTAGGTCAATCATTAAGTCTGAATTAAATTGGTTAGGGTTAACATAAACACTATCTCAACCCAAAAGCTTAGTCTTAAATAAATTAGTCACTCGACTCTCTCAATATTTGCTAATGTTGAACTATTCTTCTAATCTTCTGTTTAATCTAATCCTTACATATGAATATTAGAAAGAAAAAAAAAAAAAAAAGGCCTCGTACCTCAATTCGGAGGTAATTTTTCCCTGAATGCAATGCTTGGAAAGCTTCAGAGATGTGGATATCCACCATGTCTGCACTTGCTTGCATGAATGCATCTACCAATGGAGTGGAACCATTACTGAGCAGCCAACCCAATACTCCCCATCTCTTTGCATGGTTGGCACTGTACCTTTCTTCCTTGGAAGAGCCGGTGCCAAGTGAGATAACCAAGAAGCGGTGGTAGTCCATTGGTTTTATAGGGAAGAAGTCTGGGTTTTCTTCAAAGGTCTCTTTGGTTATTTCTCCCATTGCAACCAAAGCCTGGAATCAAAAGTAATTAGGAATACTTGTTTCTCAGCATTCTGCTTTAGCTTAAAAAGCAGGTTAATAATACCGGATTATTTGCTGCTAATCCTCCATCGATAAGATTAAACTCTCTTATATTGCCTTGGGAGTCTTCAGTTTGGAAGTCGTATGCTGGAAGGTAAGTTGGAGCTGCAGAGGTGCCAATGCAGATATCGGAAAGCCGAGCATCAAGTAATGGGTTGTTCTTTACCTGCAGAGAACATTAACTACGCATACATATGTAGCTGAGAATGCATTGTTTCTCCAAAGAATGGGTTTCGAACCTTGTATGATGAGAAGATGGTCGGCTGGAGCCTCTTGATATCGAAAGTTGGGATGACCACATTGGTCAATGTCTGATGCAGCCGTGTCTCCCCTAAGTTTCTCCTGATAAGCTCATGAAGATACTTCCCATCATACCTTGGTCCAATTATAGCTCGAATAACTTTCGCAGCTGTGTTAAATGGCCAGCTGAGGAAACAAACAGGGAAGTCAACTCGATCAGTTCCATCACATCAATTAACACCAAGAAGGAATCAGTAGTGACCTGGACTGTGGGAAGATCTTGGGGGAATGATTCAGGTAAAACTCTTTGATGTCCTTTGCAGCATAAAGAGGTCGGTTTTGCATGTTAGGTGCAGTCAGCATTGCAGTTACCAGACCACCGGTGCTCGTCCCCGCCATGGCATCAAAGTAATCTGCAAGTCGAGCATCTTCACCATCCAGTTTCTTCTCGTTCATATTCGAACAAGAAACAAAATGGTATGTTAGCTTAAGAAAAAGTATATGCTAATGCTGCCTAAGTTCAAACTGCATGGTTGTTAACTTATGCATCCAGTTATATCATATGTAATTCGAGAAATTTGATCTCTTGAGGTACTCTTTACAAGAAGATAATGGGATTGTAGCAATTTGGAGGGATGGAATTCAGTTCAGTGACTGTTAGGTGAGTTTGCTTGCCTGAAATCGAGTATATGAAAGAACGTATTATTTAGGATATACATATATATATATATATATATATATATATATATATATATATATATATATATATATATATATATATATATATATATATATATATATATATA